TCAAATTTGTAATTCTTGAAAGGTAAAACTTTATAAGACAAGGAGTGCAGAAAGCTTCTAAGATTTGTATGAAGGCAGTGGCATATACTGGGATTATAGTCACTTTTAGTTAACCTCTTTAATCTGCTTTTTAGGCTGTGTGTAATATATACCATGCATTTATTTTAATCACTCCCAAATTTGGAAAATGTATGTGATTTTCTTGAAACTGGCTTCAGAGATCTGCAGGAATATTATGGCTGAAACACAATCAGAACCTGACATGTATTTCTTATAAAATTTGTAACTTTAGCCACAAATCACAGAATCACAGAATGGCAGGGGTTGGAAGGGGCCTCCAGAGATCATCCAGTCCAACCCCCCTGCTAAAGCAGGTTCACCTAGAGGAGGTTGCACTGGACATTGCCCAGGCGGGCTTTGAATGTCTCCAGAGAGGAGACTCCACAACCCCCGTGGGCAGCCTGTTCCAGTGCTCTGTAACCCTCAAAGTAAAGAAGTTCTTCCTCATATTCAACTGAAACCTCTTATGTTTCAGTTTGTGCCCATTGCCCCTTGTCCTGTCGCTGGGCACCACTGAGAAGAGTCTGGCTCCGTCCTCATGACATCCACCCTTGAGATATTTGTACATGTTGATGAGATCCCCTCTCAGTCTTGTCCTTTTCAGGCTAAACAACCCCAATGTTATGATTCCTTCCTGCAATAACAATGTAAGATTAAAGTAATCTTTAATCTTTACTTTTCTGTGCTTTACATATTTATTTCCGAATTCTGAATGTTTCTGATTTTGTTTGGTTGTTTTCCCCATATAGTTAACCTTTCTCTCCAAAACTGTTCTTATCTGCAGGAAAAGAATTTTTAATTCTGTTAATAATTCTCTTCCACATGCTTCAGATAGAATTTGAAGAATCTAGGCGTTCATCTGAGGTTGATTTTCTTTCTAGGCTCCTTTTTGCTTCTTAGTACACCCCTAAGTACACATAAGTAAGTGGAAATATAGAAAACTGTATTTAACAGATGGCTAATCTATCTGAAATGGCTAGTTTAAGACATAGATGTTAAATTAGCACCTTAGTACAAGATGTAGGTATCTTGCTAATACCCGAGTTAAGACAACAAAGGAGGATTTTGATCATTTGCTCTCCATGATTCCCACATTCTTTCTTCCTCTCTTGTCTTCTCTTTCCGGAGAAGAAAGACTGATGTCCTATGTCAGTCACCATTCTACGTCCTTGCCATTCTGTCAGAATTGAGTCCAGTGTTCTATGAATGTGATTTCTGAGCATCATTAAGTCAGTTTGAAGCTAAATAATTGCATAGGATAATAATACTGAGAAGTTCTTTTGCAAACAGAACTCTGTATGTAGCTTTTTAGCCTCAAAGTGGAAACACAAATATGGTTTGATGGAACAAAACTTAGCAGTGAACATCTACAGCTTCTGTTAGATCCAGTCTTTTTTTATAATCAAGTACAAAAAATAAATAAATGAAAAACCAGATTTTGGAGTGGTTTTGTTAGGCTGTGTATGTGATTGAAGCCACAGTCCACTGGAAAGTTTCTAGGTCTTGGGTCTGTAATAGATGCACTGATCATTAGGTCATTAGCTTAATTATTTTCATAATTTAAAAAGTTTGATTCAGGTTAATAGCATCCTTATAGAACATGTGGTGTAGAGAGCTTCTCAAATGGGAGACAAAATTACATTCTTTTGATAGTCTGTATTTCTGAAATTTGCTGTACACTCATTCCTACAAATTAACAGAATGGCTACCATCAAGTTAAGTGCAAACAGATTTTAAGAAAAAAGTTAGTGGTTATCCCTGCTGTGTGTGTACATTTTCAGATTAAAATACACTGATTTTAGTCCATTCTTAATCTTAGTGGTTGATAGGCATTTTAAAGAATACGGTAATTTCAGTCATTCCTTTAAAGCTTCTCACAGCAGGATGTCCTGAAATGTTGTGAACACCAATGATCAGCTAAGTCTTCAGAAAACAGTATAGACTTTGTAAGTGGTTTTGTAATGGCTAGTGTAGTCCTTAAAATATATTATGTGCAGTTACCCTCCTTACATTCTTTAATGACAATCTATTTTTAATAAAGCCATTTAGTTTGGTTAATTAGAGTTAGTACTAAATCTAGTCTGCTGACTAATCTTTGAAAATATCTTAGGCCACACTGAAAATGAGGCTGCAAGATAAACTGTATATATATGTATTTTGGCTTTTTGTCAACTTTATACTTGCAAGAAAAGTTTTTTGAAGAATACAGATCTGCCTCTTGATGCAAGTTACAGAGCTCACCTTCATGGAAAACGGTAAAAAAAATAGGCCATGGAAAAATGAAAAATAGCCCACGCCAGTAATCTCAGAGGGAGTTCTAGTCCTGTGTTTTATGTCAGTAGTATGCCATTTATCTTACCCAGTTTTTACCCTTGAGGCTTCTTGCAACCCCATGTTGTGACACAGCTTCTCTTCACTGGCTGGTGTACATGGAAACTTTCTTGTCCTTGTCCTCAGCTTCTGAAGTCTCAGGTCAAAGTAGTTCATTGTTCATAACACGTAAACTGGTACCTTCTACCACATTGTAGTAAGCAAACGTAATTTACTCTTGGAACTTACAAGAGAGTTTTTTCAACTTTTCCAAGAATATCACTGGAGCAGACCATAAAGCCAGCACAGACTCACAGATATTCTCAACTTAATGCTACTTGATCATACTTCTATAATTTCCTTTTTGGGACACGTCAACTGTGCATAGGTGAGACCAAGTGGACTGTACAGTCATGACATCAGACTACGATCTGCTTCTGATCGGACTGTACAGTGACCTGCGATAGGTCAGACTTAATCTGTGTCCAATACTAAAAATACATGCATTTAATTCTGTCCAGTTAGCTCTATCACCCAGTTCCATAGTAACAAGTTTTCTGCTCCTAAAGTGGTGCAGTCCAGCAATAATTCCATGGCTCTTATCACTTTAGGTTAACTGCTGGCGCTGAGGAAAGCTGGGCCAACAGCTCAGGGTATTTTAGTATTCTGTTGATGTTCAGCATTTCTGTATTTGGACCTTTTTGGGAATCCAGTCCTGCAGTGGATCTTTAGCATGTTATCCATGAATCTTTGAGCAATCCTCTTCAATCAACATCTGATTTTGCCTTCCATTATCTGATGATGAGGATGTGTTTCTTGATGATTGTCACTTCTACAAATGAGAGAAGTCTGTATAGCATACTCTTAAGATGTCCTATTCCATGTAGAAGAAGTTATCTTCAGAGTTCGTTCTAAATTAATGTGTAATGTGTAATTAGTTTCAATTAACTTTCCTGTTTGTTCTTGAAGCCTCAGACTTCCAGGACTGAGACCTCCTGAATGTTAGGTCTGTCTTCATCCTCCTTTGAGTGAACAAGAGCCTTGAAGAAAGGACTTTGCTTCAGGTCTGTAAGTGTTTTAGAGAGGCAGATGCTGTCTCCTGCTTTGGAAAGGCTGTTAGAGAGGTGCAAATCTGGAACTGCCTGCTGTTGTAGTCAATGCTATTGAAGAGCATCAGCAGCTGACTTGGAAAATGTCTCCTCTGAATGGCAGCCTGGAGTTCCAGTTCCCTCTTCAACAACTGTTACTATGTTGGTGAATTTTATTGGGGATTATGTGGCATGTGTGAAACTGGTCCTTGAGTCTTTACTCAAGCAGGGAAAAGGATCATCTTATCTAGGTAATGCTGATCTTTGGGAAATACTACCTGGAGTTACTCAGTCTAGATTTACATATATGTTTGAAGTCAAAGGAGAAGAAAGGTTATTGACCTGTAGCTGCTCTCATTTGCATTGTATTGTTTATACATGCATATGCAGCCCGTCTCTCTGTGTTCGTATGATTTTTTTCCATGTATAATCATAGTGGAAACCGTTTCACTTAGCTGATAAATCAGTAATTACACCACAGACCATGCTGCGTTGAACTTGGTAGTAGGACTAAACTTTATCCTTTTCATTTCCAATATGGAAGGCATAAGGAAAAATAAAGAGAAGGAAATAAAATATAAATGGAGTGATTTGGACAATGAGAATAGTTCTTCCATTCCAAACTGAGGAGCTTTCTGGCTACCAGTTGATAAAATTGAAAGGTTTCTAGAAGTTAACTTCTTTTAATCATGAGACGGTCCAGTGCAGGGTGGATCACTGCATCTTAAATTGGTAGTTTTAGACTTACTGTTAAACAATTTTTTCTGTTTAAGGAAAAATAATTCATTTACCTAAATTTTGACTGTCTTCTACAAAATAGTTACTAAAACCAGCGATTGTCCTGAACTTAATATAGGGGATTTTATACTAACAATTTAACAGACTTCCTTTTTAAACATCATATCTTCTTCCAGTAGCAGGTACATAGATTACATTAACAATAAAAGTATCAGGCCGAGTTTTTGTGACTCGTACCCGCATCATTACACAAATTTCATGAATATAAATGACAGCAAAATTTTATCTGCCATTTTTTTAACTGTATTTCTCCATATCCACAGTGTTGAGTTGCTTCTTTTCCATTGGTGTTATGATGAACTACACAGCTTGTTGGCTGGGTTTTTTTTCTGTTTTGGGGGAAGAAGAGGTTTTGCTGATATAAACAGTGAATTTGTATTTGGTTACAGATAATGATTCCTACTGATAGTTGATCCCTTTCTAGAGTAATGCCATATTGATATAACTGTCCAGAAGTTAACTCATAGGAATATAATTTTAGAAGAACAAACTAATAAATCTCATAGTATTCAGTTGTTCACTACAGACCCCAGTCTTCCAGTTATGTCTGCACTCAGCTTTAAGAAAATTGATCAAATCAGGACAACAGTGATTTAAAAAAATTGATGAAAATTGAAGAGAGGAGAAAAACAGAGTGGAAAAATAAGACATAATTGTGTTTTAAAAACAGTAACGTAGTAAGTAGTACATTATATGAACTTACACAGCATTTCTGAGAATTAATAATTTTATTTTTTTCTCCAGGATTCAGAGTTCCCTGTTGATACTTGTCAACTCATACCATGTGCATGCAAAAGAAGATACTCAACTCCTGAAATCTGGAGAGTATAAACTGAGCAACATTTTAAAAGGGAATGACTTAGCTGTGAGCTGGTAGGAACCATTAACAGTACATTAATTTTATTGTTACATACGTGCTGAATTTTATTTTTAAAAAAAGTCATTGAGAAACGTTTTCTTCAGGTAGATTTCTGAAAAGCTACTGGCAGCAGTCAAGGGGATGTTTTCTCTGAAGAATGTGAAAGTGGAAAAAATGATCATGAAATTTAGTGGGAGCGTAAATACAGCAAAACACCTGGGCAGAACTGTTTACAGACTGAGATTCATCTTTTATGTAAGAAGAGTGGGATTTGCTTAGTAGATATAGAAATGGGAACCAGAGATGTGACTAAACTCGGGTAACAGGAAACTGAATTATAATGCTGAATATTTTTGCAATTTGTATTTGATTGCAGTTTATTCCCTTGGGTCAAAAATCAGAAGAGTTTAAATTTAGATTAGCTTGAGCGTGCAAATAGCCTGTAAGCAATGACATTTCAGGGCTTGCTAGCTGCAGCTGAGGAAGAACAAACATTAAAATAGCTTTTAAAAAAAAGTTAGAGCTAGTAGCAAAGTTCAGACAATTCTGACACATTGTCTAGGTATGAATATATTTTAAAATTAATTTTAATAATAATCAATTTTGTTATTCAGATAAACTTTATGTAGCTTAATGCTGTAATAAATATCCACTGTACTGCTTTGAGTTTTGGCCTAGCTGGGCAGGCTTCTGCTTAGTCTCTCAGATGCTCAATTCTGGTTTTCTGTCTGACAAATCCTGAACATATATTTGTAAGGTAATATTTTGAATAATTTTCTCCTGTACTGTACAGCTGTATAGATTGGTCCGGTCAGGAAAGAAAGATTTCGAGTGGCGTCTCTGTGCTGCTACTCTAAGGAGGCTGTAGTAAATCCACCCAAAATATTGGTGGGTTTATTTGGCTTATCTGAAGAACACCAGGTGTGAGAATGGTGTGTAGTTTAAAAAAAAAAAAAAAAAAATTAGTCAGGCGGAGGAGGAAGACAATTCCACACTTGGCAAGATTTTCAGTGAATCAGGAAGAATAATGATGAAAATGTAACCTTTACAGGCTACATCATCACAAGATTTATAGGCATGACAGGCTACAGAGGAGCAAGTCTAAAGTAATCATCTTCATGTTAATGTTTGCCTTGTTGAAAGTTTGCCTTCACCTGTAGTAGAAAGACAGGTTCGAGTTGTAAATCACTTGTGAACGTTAAAATACATACATAACTGAAAATAGCAAAAGTTCATAGGCTAGTCAAGAAAGGGCACCTCTACCTAAATTTTTCTTACACTTGAACAATAACAGATAAATATCATACATGTTCATGTAAAACTATTCCTTGTATTCCTTATCTTTCTTCAATTATATTTTTATATCTTAGATTATTCTAGATCCTTATATCCAGTGTTTCTAGTTATTGTTGGAAGAGATATTCTTATGTACTGGGGAATTCTAAGTATTTTTTGCAGTTAATAACTGCAGATCACACCTTAAGGATATAGTGCCACTTCAGAAAGCAATTTACTGGAATAAAAATAAATTGGATGTCTTTAAATGCATTTGGAAACACTTTAGAACTTGCTTGGAGAAACAGCAACTAAACTGAAAAGAAAAAAACGGTGAGGATGTGAATGCAGTTTCATATACTGTCAATATGATGTTAACTTTCATGTAGAGATAATGCTTTAATGAAAGTGAGAGCCTGGGATAGTACTCTCAAATTAACTGAAATGCATATTTTAAAAATGTAAAAATATAGAACCATTAAAAGAACAAAAGAAGGAAGAATCTTAAAGTGTTCTTGAAAAAATGTAAACAACGTAATTGAATTTGTCATTTGCTTAAAAATCTCTGTGTACATGGTAGATCATAGTTTCTACATGTTTAACCATGTCTGAAAAAAACATTTAAAATTTATAGTCACTTCAATTAACAAAGAGTTTTACCTATCTGAATACCACTACTTAAAATCAATCTTTTTAAGTGATTAAAAAGAATGTATTTTGTTTTTCTTGTTAATGTTAAAGGCTATATTGTAGCCTGGTTTGCTTAAAGTAGGCCTTTTTTTGACAGCGTGTCCTGCAGTATTTTTTTAACACCCTGCCCAATTTCAGACAAATTTGACAGAAGAATAACAGACTCAGAAGTACCAAGGTTGCCATGTATTTCAAGAAAACAGATCTCTGTGTTGAAGAAAGGGTCACTTAGTACCCTGTTGGTTGCAGGTGGCTAAGAATTCAAAGAGGGGAGAGAAGTTGTGAATACTCTGGTTTGGGGGAAAGGCTTTAAATGGAGCTCATACCTTATTAGATGCTATAGAATCCAATCTCAAGGCACACAGCTAACACCCACAGAGCTTGGGTTATCATTTTTAGTTTAACACAGCAGCTATTCAGTCCTGAATCTGGCTTTCCTTGGAAGTCCAAGAGGTTATTAAATGCATAAATCAAGATTTTTCAGAGAAGAATGACTTAGATGAATTCTCTGTATAGGGAGTTAAAGTGGCCCATTTAAAGAAGTTCTGAACATTCACTGAATGTATTTATAGTAATTATGATCGTCTATTTGATTTTACAGACAGAAGTTGGAAATCAGTATCCACTAGATGAGAATTAATTCTTCTTGTAGTTCATAGGATAGATGGAAAACATTCTGTTGACTTAGGAGACCAAATTTCCTTTTTTATGATTTAGGTTTTTCTCACCAGAACCATTGTATCAAAACAACAAAACAGAATCTGGTTCATGCATGTATATTACTGGGTTCCCTTACATTTCTCTAGAAATTGGAGCACCTGCAAACCCAAACTCACAGTTTTTACATGCCTTAAAGCTGATGTAGATTAGTTCTTTAGACCTTCCTCAGTATTCATTGAAATGCATATTTGCAGAGGGGGGGAAAAAAATCCCCTGGGAAACCTTGTTTGTTTTCTGCGAAGCTGAATGTTTCCCACTTTTCAAATCATCACATAGGCATTCCTCTTCTGCATTAAGCTCACATTTCTCCAGTGTCCTTTTAAATATCCTGGTAAATCTCACTCTGCCTACAAGAATCACTGTAAGATCTGTAATGCCTAAATGATCTTCCCAGCCTTACTTGCTTACTGTTCATTTTCTCTTCACCTGCTGTCTGCATCTTTCATGTAACCCCAAGGGGTTTGCATGGCTTTCCATAGAAAGTACTTCTACAGTCACCATATGCAATACTACATCTGTCATGGTTTATATTGTCTTCACTTGGGAAAAGAAAGATGCCCATGCAAGCATTATTCAGTGTTGGAAAACAGGAAAATGTCATGTATTATTTTGGAGAGATGCTTATCTCAGATGCAGCTGAAAAATTAACAGTAATGGCATGCGGGTTTCAGATTAGTACAATACTATATTTAGCATATAATTTCATGTATTTTGTGGATAGACAATAGTTCTATTTCTCTTGTTTAAGTCTCAGATCAGAAAATTCATGTTGTGAAAATACTGTCTATTTGCAGCTTAATTATGACCTTTTTTAATACCTTTTAAGCAGAATGACAAGTGAAGGCTCCATCACCTTGCTTTTTTCTTAATTTTTTAAGATGTCATCAAGTTGTCCTCCTTCTTCCCTCCCATGCCTCACACACAGAGCTTACAATTCTCCATTTAAAGTTTATTTCATGTTTATAATCTACAGTAATTGCTGCAAAAATGCCACTTTTCATTGTGGGTAGAAGTCATAAAGTTTATAACCTAATATTTTAAATGGATGCTTTACCTAGTAAGTATACCTGCATAAATAGAAAATTTATCATATATTATTCTTGTTTATGTGTAACCTGATGTTCCCAAATCCTTTATCCTTGTTCGATATTTTGTAAAAGAACAAGATAGAGAATCGCAAATGCTCTGCTGAGGCACAGTAAAAATATGAAGCTGGAGATGATAATAAAGAAAAGCAAATACAAAATGTTTAGTGATTATCTAGGCTTTCCTGATGGGCTCAGTAAAAGATAATTTTTCCATAGGGACTAATTCATCATTATATCTTATTATACTGTTTTCCCCCATTTTTTATCAGTGGATTCCAGAGATTTTAAAAAACTTATCTCCTTGGGAACCATGCAAATTGACTTGCAGCGTAAAATTGTGTAGGTGATTATACAAGACGTATTCACAAATTGAAATTAAAGTTACAGTCTTGTTCCTCTCTACTACATTTTTTTCCTTCTTAACATATAAATACATACGCACTGGTACACACAGATGCATGTACACATGCACACAGAAGAATAATCTTTGCAGGAAAGAATTCTTTGAGTGTTGACATGAGGAACTTCTTTTGAAATAGTTTATAGTCTTAAATTTGCTGTAAAAAGGTTATACTGATCTGCATTGCATCTTCAGAGTTTCAAGGTTTCCATTTATATAGTAAGGTGGTGGAGGCAGAGAGAACTGAGAGCAGTGTGAAGAACCATGCATTTTGTTGTGTTGGTCGAACTTTGATATCTGGCCTGTACTCTGTTTTAGTCCCTTTTAGACGTATCTCCCAGTTTTCTATTCCATTCTCAAACTTTTGCTTTCATAGAGTTGCTTCTGGAAAGAGCAGGCCATGAAGACTGCGTTTCTATAAACAAAGTAACAGAAGTAGTGCAGGTCATTTTTAAGCAAACATCTTGGTAGCTTTCCTCTGCTGCCCTTCCTGCGTTAACATCTCAAAGCAACTTTCTCGTAGTCTTTTCTGTCACTCCTTGATATTTTTCTTTATTGTGATGCCTGTAGTGTTTTGACAAGTTATCCTGATGGTTTGCTGAGACTGCTGCCTGTTACACCAACGAATGTCATTTCCATCTCTCTGTCTTAGGGCTGGTGAAGTAATGTCATTTTGTTCCATGTCTGAATGATGCCAAGCAAAATAGGGTCCATCTACCAAGAGGTGATCAGTCGTATGAATGATACGGTGTCCTCATATAATAAAAGCTAGAAAACCGAGGATTCAAAGTCCAAAATTCATGTAGGTGAAACTTCCTGTTGAAGAAAAAAAATTTAGGGA